TATTGATCTTCTTTATCAATATATATTTTAAATTTGAAAATTGTGTTTGTATTCATCCCCCCCTTCTACAAACTGTTTAGTATTCTTGTAGACCCTTTTGGGACCAACACATTCAGTACTAAATCATTCAGAGGGTTAAAATGGTAATTTTACTGTCATTCAGAGAACAGTTACCAAACAACATTATTTCATTCAGCATTTAACCATTCTGACCTCTTAACTATTCTGCACTAAATCATTCAGCAACTGCCAAACAGCCCCTTAAACTTATCCATAACTTACAAAAACAAACCAGAAACACCATGACCCCAGAAATGAACTCGACCCTTTAAATTAGGTTACTATTAGTGGTTTTTTTCTCAAAATGAAGAGGCTATCTAAGACGCTTATCACACACCGCATTTGCGAACATGATCAAACTTCATAGTAAATGAACAATTTTTTGTCATAACAAGAACAATGTTTTGTCATAACGAGAATATAAGGCAAACCTCATTATGTTATATCAAAACGTAATGGCCTAGCTATACCTTACCTATAAGGAACCCTTAAAACCGAACTTTCTTGTATATAGTAATAAACATTACCTCACTAATCCCCAAATATAAAAGGACTAATTTGTAAACTCTGCAGAGAGTTACACTAAAAACCTCACCAACAATGTCACCATCGTCAACAGGCTTAAATTCTCTATATTGAAGCTATCTGAAAGTGATCATAGATGAAAACAACAAAATGATGTAAGATTGTGTGCCTAGCGAATCAATAACTCAACTCTAGAATTACTAGGATGTGCATATGGGGATTTCAGATGCTGTAACCAAAAGCTAATATCCCGTTTTGCAATAGAGTTGCAATCAAACGAAAGTATAATTTGAGTAAAGATAATATAAGCTACCTGATATACCAGAGACCAACTCAGTGGTAGAAATCTTAAAAAATGGAACTCCAGTCTCATTAGCAATGGCATGAGCCAGTTTAGTCTTCCCACACCCAGGTGGCCCGTGTAACAAAATACCAGCCATCGGCCTAACTCCGAGGCTTCGTGGTAGCTGTGGATGAAATAAAGGAACAATCACCTCCATCTTCAACTCATCCAAGACTACATCCATACCACCCAGGTCCTTAAACCTCGGCCCATCGTCTTTCCCATTGTCATCAACACCATCATCATTTGACAAGTTTTTCTGTTTCTGTGCCTTAGCTTTTACCACTGGCTTAACCCTTCTATCTTCCTTCATCAAATCAACTTTTGTATTTACCTTATTGTTGCTATTGGTAACCACCTCTAACTCCACATTTTTACGTTTTTCATCGACTTTTCCATCAATTTTTGACCCGCTGTACTTGTTTCTGAGCATCGATTTCGTTAAGTCAAACTCTGGTTCAAATTGCAGGCTATAAACCTCATTATCGGAGGTCGAAACGGCACTTCTATCTTCTTCTACATCAGAAGAAGACGATTYCGAAGACTCAGAGGTTGATTGTAGCTTAATTCGTCTCCGTGCAACATGCTTCATCTCCAACATCTGCAATCTCTGCTCTCTGCTATCAATCTTCTTCGCCTTCTTGCTCGCGGGACTGCGTAGCGACGGAGATGTGCCGTCATCGTCATCGTTGAATATAGATCGACGGTCATCGTCATCGTTTCTTCTTGATTTATTCTTGTCTTTGCTGTTGCTGGAATCTAGGGCTTGTTTCACCATTCTGGTGAAAGGTTGGAGCTTGTGGCCACCGTATTCGGGAAAAGTGGCACGGAGGCGGTCAACGATTTCGTCGAAGGATGGAGTGGCGTTGCCGAAGGTTTCATGTACCCGGCGACGTAGAACTCTCTCGAACACCGACGACGTCCCCGGCGACTTACCTGCTTTCCCCATAGATAATGCGGCGGTGGACCAAAACTGTGTGAAGTTTGGAAAGGCTACATGTGCTGTAGGGATGGTGATTTGGCCCGACCGGTGGGGAACCCGGTTCACCCGACCCGGACGGAGACAGGGAATCCCCGCTAAAACGGGTACCGGGGCCGGGGCCGGGATCCCCGGTAGACCCGACCCGTACCCGGTATATTAATAAATAATAAAATAGTTATTTGGGCTTTAGGTAAATGGAATGTTACTACTTATTTGTGTTTGGGACTTTTGTGTTTGGGCCTTTTGGATTTGGGCTTTGGGTGTTGACCGGGTGTTGACCGGGGGTTGACCGAAAGTTGACCGGGGCCGGGGACGGGGCCGGGGACTCTATATATAAACCGGGGCCGGGGCCGGGGATTGCAAACCCCGCCCCATCCCTGCCCCGTTGCCATCCCTACTGTGCTGTGCAGCTGCAGTTTATTATAGCTTCGGTTACGCAAGATTCCAGATTTTGAAAATTAAGTATTAATTCATCTTTATTTTGTTTACGGGGCTGTTTGGCAGTTGCTGAATGATTTAGTGCAGAATAGTTAAGAGGTCAGAATGGTTAAGAGGGTCAGAATGGTTAAGTGCTGAATGAAATAATGTTGTTTGGTAACTGTTCTCTGAATGACAGTAAAATTACCATTTTAACCCTCTGAATGATTTAGTACTGAATGAAATAA